ATTTCTGAACACACAGAACCATATCATCTGATGGACTGCTCTGTGTTTTGAAATGGTATCTGTATCACTTCAACTAAGAATCTTTTTATTTCATGTTTGTCCTTCAACATAGAAGTATGATGCTTGAAGACCTGTTAAAAAGGCAGTAACTCCATCAGTCTCCTAATGGCTCCAAATTTTGAATAGCATGATTTTTATATCCATAGGCTAACACCTTTTATATATTGTTTCTTTGGTTCCTAGTTTTGTTAGAAAATATTCTTTCTAGCAATGTGTTGCATAAATATGGTTCATACAAACACACTATATAAAATAACAAACTAAAGGGGATTTCATTAATAAAAAACAGCACATTAGGTGCTTTGCAAACCAAAAATACTCTGTGATTGACTTTTTATACAAATAATATCAAAACATTAAGGCATGTGTTTTGTAAATTTTTAGTAAATTTCTCTCATAAAAATGTTATTGCTCAAAAGATAATGTGTTATTCCTCTTTAAAGTAGTTTAATTTTTATGATAAAGTTTAAATGCTTCAATCTGGAGTATTAATCAGGATTCCACAGAGAAACAGGACAAATAGCACATTTTATATATATATAGAGAGAGAGAGAGAGAGAGAGAGAGAGAGAGAGAGAGAGAGAGATTATAAAGAATGAAGGCTGGGAAGTCATAGAATCTGCATTTGGCAGTTCATAGACTCAAGAGATGTGATGGTATAAGCACATCTAAATGCCTAAAAACCAGGAGATCCAATGATATATTTTCAGTCCAAATACCTTCAGGCTGGAGACCCAGGAGGAGCAGATGTTTCAGTTTGAGTCAAAGGCAGAAAAAGTCTGATGTCCCAGCACAAATGTAGTCTTGCAGAAGAAGCTTCCTCTTACTGGCGGGAGGGTCAGCCTCAAACTGACTGGATGAGGCCCATCCACATTAGGGAGAACAATCTGCTTTACTCAGTCTACTGATTAAATGTTATTTGCAACCAGAAGCATTCTCACCCAGACACATCCAAAAGAATGTTTGGCAAATGCCTGGGCACCCAAGACCTAGTCATGTTGACAAATAAAATCAACCATCATGCTCATCAGGGAAGAGCCTTCCTTATCTAACCAGAACAGATCAGTTTATCCTTAGTTTCTCCTATTACTCTCTGTCTTCAGCCATTCAGAGCTAGTTTTATTTCCTTAAAAGAACCTTGGCTATTCATATCCATGTGTTTTCACAGATGTTTTTTGCTCTACTTGAGCACAATTACCCTTGTCTTAGGTTGAGCCCCCAAAAAGCAGACCTGAAACAAGAATTCAAGTGGGAGTCAGTTATTTGAGAGATGATCTCAGAAAACAAAATCAGATGAGTGGGGAAGCGAGATGGGGACGTGAAGAAAGGCAGTAAGATCAAGCTATAAGCAAGTTGTAAGTGCCTTATCACTGGGCAACTGGGGGCTCATTTCCATGTTGGGGAGGAGACTCTGGGACACAATATATATGAACATGCTTCTGAATTAGCCCACCTGAGAAGCAAAGGAGCTGGAGTACTTGCATATAATTACTTATATGCAAGTCTTGGCCCTCATTTATCAAAGGATGCTCTCTCGGGGGACAGTGTAAATACCGTAATATTTCTCTAGTGGGCTCAAGCAACCTAGAGAAAGACTTCAGGCAAAGAGATCCAGGAGCTAGTGGCTGGATGTTAGGCTGCTAATATTAAAATGTCAACGAACAAAGGGGAGAAGCAGAGCATCTACATCTGCTGGAAATCTACTGCCTTTCCTTTCCTTTAGCAAATTCTCACCTATTAGGATTCAGCTTAAGCCTCACCTCTTCTTCATAGGCTTTCTCTTTTACTTAGCTGTTTCCCAATAGAATCTTTGTGTGCCTGCACCAGAGAAGATGTTACTTCCTCTTCGAATAGTTATTTTATTTTTCTACATCACCCACTTCTTTGTGAGCTCTTTGAAAAAAGGAATTGTCTGTCTGTTTCTTCAGGGTTTTGTATAGTTCTGGCACATGGTGCTGATCAACAAATGGTTGTTTAAGTAGTAAAAATAGTATAATAATGACATCCTAACAATGATAGCCTGTATTTATTGAATGTTTATTTTGTGTAAGCATTGTACATGTATTACCAACTCTAAAAGATTAGTACATACTTTTATTATCCCTATTTTCCAGATGAGGAAGCGAAGGTATAGATAGGTTCATGTAATTTGCCCAAGATTGAACAGCTATATATAGTTGGACCTGGGAGTAAACACAAGCAGTCTAAGTCCAGATCTTTGATAAACTCTTCACCACTCTCTAAATAAATGAATGAATGAGTAGAATGAATGAATGAATGAATGAATAAGAAAACACCAAGTCTGATCCCTCACACAGAGGGGTCATCCTGGGGATGATGCTATCGGTATAGTCTGTGAAGTTCAAATATCTGCTCTAATGTCATTTCCTAAGAACCCTTCCCTCTAGAAACATTTTTCCCTTCTTTGCCACCTTTTGTAATGACACTGAAAACTGTCTACTATGTGTTCAAATTTATCTTCATCTTCATATCCTAATTCGCTTAATAATAGCAGGTTTCTAGACAACTGCTTAAGAGTCTGATTCATTTTGATGTTTTCTACTTCCCCAAACACAAAACCTTGCACACAATAAGCTACCAACAAGTGTTTGCCAGATGGACTAATGGATGTATGAGTGACAAACAGAGATCTTGGACTCTTCCCTTGTCTTTTCCTAGAAACTGTAGAGAATCTTTTCCACCCAACTCTGAGATTCCAGAGAGTCTGTCATCATAGAGATTTTAAATGGTTCTGGAAATATAATTCTGTTTAAATATATTAAATTCAGGGAAGAATCTGTGAAGAGTTTACTTTGCAACACTTTGATAATTATTTAGTTAGAAAATTATATTTCTAAGAAATAGGTATTCTTTCTCCCAAAATTGTATTCATAGGGAGACTGAAAGAAAGAAATTATATAGAAAACCACTAAAGTCTCTAATATATTTGAGTGGAAGAAAAACTATTTCTTTAAAAGCTAGTGATGACCATCAAGAATTACCTTTCTTAAACCTAAAATTAAATGCATTTTTCATTTCTACTCACTAATATATCTTTAATATTTATTTATAATTACAGTCAAAAGAGTGCCATTTTGAATAAATTTGGCTAAAAAAATGGCTATATTATAAAACACATCGAGGAGGAAGTTGCAAATCTTTACTGAGTCCTCATTGTTTTCAAACAACCACATAGATACATGGTATTCTAATATGTAGGAGTGACATAGAAAATAATAGAAATTAATGCAGTGGAAGCTTCTTTATTGACCCTAGTGTATAAAATGAATTATGTTAGGTACCATGGAATACAAAGGAACATAAGACATGGTCTTTATCTTTGCAGAATTTAGGATCTAGAGATGAAAATAAGGAAGACAGATATGTTAATAAGTAACTATAGAATTCGATGGTAATCACAGCTAATATTCAGTACTTAACAATGTTTCAGTAGCTGTCCTAGTGCTTTATGTAACATTATCTCTTTGAATCTTAAAATTCCATGAAAAAGACAATATTATTATCCCACTTGATGGATTATGAACCTGAAACTCAATAAGGTTAGGCAACTTCTCAAAGATCATGCGTCTAATGACCGGGTAAGTAGAGGAGCCAGTAGGCAGACCTAAACCCAAAAGCCCTTAAAGTTTATACACTGAGGGCAGTAAAAATAAGATATGCCAAAGAGAACACTATTTATTCAATGTTTGAGTAGATGTTATGGCATCTCAGCTTGGCCTTGAAGGTGAGTATGATAGATAAGAACAGGGCTTAGGTTCCAAGACTGAGACAGGTAAAGGAAGCTAAAGAGCAGGGCTTTGCTTCCAAGACTGAGACAAAGAGCAGGGCTTTGTTTCCAAGACTGAGACAGGTAAAGGAAGCTAAAGAAGCACTTGAGAAAATAGAGAAGAATCAAACATTGCCATGCATGTGGGTGGTGGCATGAGTGGAACAAACTTGGTGAAATTGAGAAAAGTGGCTGGAACCAGTTATGTTGGTCTTAAGTATTACCCCAAAAAGCCTAGACTTTTCTCATTAGACAGAGTCACTGATAGGTTGTGAATCAGATCAGAGTTGTATTTTAAGATTGATTTGGAAGCTACATGTAAAAGGAATTGGAGTCAGAAATTGGAAGAAAAGAGGACCAATTTGAAAACCTCAACATAGGTAGGGTAAATGGCAATGATAGTCTGAATTTGGGTTGCAGTATGTGTGAGTAGAGGGGAGAAACATAGAAACAGACAGGATTTGGCACTGTCTGAATGTGAGGAATATTTAAGAATAAGAGATAACAAAACAAAAGTTCAAAATAACAAATATGTCATCTAGAGCACAAAGGAAGCACATGTTTTTATCCAGTTAAAGGGGACTGAACTGGGAGAGGAGAGGAAAGGAATTAAATGGGAGTGATACAGCTGGTGGGGTATGTGAAAGCACATTGTTCAAGGCTGGGACTTGCAAACTGGCACTTCACATCCTACTGTGCAGAGATCAATCACTGTGTTGACCTACAACCAAATGGTGATGCCTGTATTTCTCAGATACTTAAAGTGAGAATGCCTATATTTAATAAATGCAGAAAATGTGGCATTTAAAGCCTGTGGCTTTTATTTTTTAGGAACTGAAATGACTTAAGTGACCATGCATAATATTTATAACAAAAACAAATTATTGAATATATAGCTTGTTATAAATATATAATATTTTTAAAAGAAATATAAACCCTAGGTGTTAAATTATACTAATTTAACTAAATTAACTAATTTAACACTCTAATGTGGATACTTTCTTCCTAATTTAGCATAATATAAGACAATAAAAATGCACAATTTATCATTCTCATTTCCACCAAAATTTTTTTTTATATAAGTTCAATTGGAGAATTCAGGTGTTTCTAGATTTCATATGAAATGTTTTTTGTCTTCTGTTCTTTTTAATAGGTGATAATGAAGAAAAAGATGTTGACATGAAAGAAGATCCAGGTATTAAATTTATGATTTTATTCTTACAGGAAGGGCAAGATCATTCTGTTGGTTATGCACACTTCACTTTTTAAAGAAAAGACAACATAAGGTTAAGAAAGTAGAAATGTATGTTCAAGGTTATAAGATAAAGTAGTTTTGCTAACTTGTCTGGCTAATACATTTACTGTATTTAAATATTAAACATGACTTTGAGCTTCTTGCTAGCTAAGGTAAAAATGAAACAGAGTATTGTAGTTAATAGAATTGCATAACAAATCACCCCCAAAATTTAGTAGCTAAAGCACCTATTTATTGTGTTCATATATTCCGTGTGTCAAGAATTCAGACAAAACATAGTACGAGTGTCTTAATAAACCTTCTTCACAAGGCCTGAGGCATGAGGCCTCAGCAGGAAAACTCAACAGCTAGGGCTGAAATCAACTGAAGAGTCCCTCATTCACATGTCTGGTTGATAACTGATATTGGCAGTCAGCTGCAACCTTTGCTGGGCAGTTTTCTGAAACACCTACACATGGCTTCTTTATGTGGTCTGGGCTTCCTCAAAGTATGGCTGCCAGGTTCCAAAGAGGTTTCTCTAGAGAGAGTGAGCAAGCCAGAAGGAGCTTAGCCCTTTATAAGACTCAGCTTCAAGGGTACCATAGCATCACTCCTACTGAACATTTTTCTTTGGACTACACTCAATCTAGCCCACTCAGGCTCAAGGGAAGAGAAAAATAGACTCAGTGTGATTCTGCAAAGCTTCTTGGACCTGAAATATTGCTGGGGCCATTTTTGGAATCTACACTTTGTACATAAGGTATATTGCTCTTAGAAATTAAGATGCCTGCCAACTCCTTGACAAAGACTAGTTTTTGATGAGAGAAATCTAGTAGCTAAAAGCATAGGCCCTGGACCAAGGTAGCCATTCACACTGTGCCTGATAATCAAGGCATGAAGCAATAAGCCTGAATTCAATTCTAGTTCCATCACTTTTTGACTTTGGGCAAGAGTCTTTTCTCCATAACCTCAGTTTATATCTCTGAGGTCAATAACTCACCATACAGTGTTGTTTGGGGGATTAAATTATATCTGAACTGAAATGTTTCTTGCACCATAATAAACACTCAATAAATTATTGCTTTTTTCTCTGTCATTCTTACAGATATTACAGATATTAATTGTATGGTACAAGTTCCCCATTTCAGTGGCTACACTACTCTAGACATGAAATAGAGACAGGTTTCAAAATTAAAATAGCTTTCTTAGAAATCTTAATTTTGTGTAACCTGTTCAATTCCAAAACTCCCTACAAATCTCTGACAACCTTAGTCTGAGCAGGTCCATTAACAGGGAACTCTTTAAATTCTGAGGCAACAAATTTCATTAGGAGAAGTTTAGTTAAAATTGTCCTTCTCTTTGTTAAATTAAAATTCTCTCCCTCCTCTGACCTCTCATTATCTTTGAGGAGAAATAACACCAGTTCTTTTCTTCATAACAGTTTGTGGGAGCAATGATTGTAGCTTTTATCTACTCTTCTTCAGCCTGAACATGTCTGGTTCCTAAAGCTCCCTTGGCCTCCCCAGGGCAATGGGTCAGAGGGCATGAGGAGAAATGGGGGAATCTAGACGTCAGGAGCAGGAATGAAGGAGGTGGAAGTGGGATGGTAGCAGCAGCTGTCAGTTTTCTACCCGTATCCCCTTGCTAACTCACTGTCACTTTACAACACTAGCAGCTTTCTGTGAAAGTTCTTGTGACTCTCAGCTGATGTTTTTCTCTGACCATGAAAGCAAAATCAAAATATCAGGAAATTAATTTATCTGGAGCAGCCCTCAACCAAGGATGGACCCATGCTGATCAGTACCCCTGCAGGACATATCAGAGACATGTTCTACTCCAGCACTATTCAGTGGAAATACAATGTGAGCTTCAAATACAAGCCTCATGTATTATTTCAGATTTTCTAGTAGCTACATTAAAAAAAGTAAAAAGAAACAAGTGGATTTAATTTATTAATAATAATATTTTAATAATATTTATGTTATATAATATGTTTAATACATTATCATTTCCACATATAAACAATATAAAGTTATTAGTCAGATATTTTACTTTTTTCCATATGATGTTTTTGAAATTCATTTGCATTTTACATTCACAGTCTCAATTCAGACTAGCCACAATTTGAGTACTCACAGGCAGTATGTGGTGTTGGGCAGCAAGATTGTATTGCATTGCTCAGAGGTCCCCAGGAGAACTAAGCCCTGATTTTCTATTGTAGAACTTGCTCATTAGCACACCCACTACTGGCTGCTTTCCCTTTTCTGTCTCACTGCCTTACTACCCTCTGGTGTTTCCTGGGATAATCTCTCAAATTTAGTACTAGGATTAAAAACTTTGTCTCAGTGCCTACTTCTGAGACAATCCAAGCTATGATAGGACTGTGCTTGTCTTTTGTAAAACTTAAAGCTCAAGATAAAATTTCATTAAATTGTCAATTCCTATTCCTATGTAGAATGTCTCACTATTTGAAAGAGCCATATATTGAAAAAAGGCTTTTTCACCTTCTCTTGGATTACATTCCATTAATTTAATGGTAATGTTTGCTATTCTCATTTAGCCCAGTCACGTAAAGTATTCTTGGAAAATCTTTCAACTGTGGGGAGCACTGCCCTATCAGCTAGCCAGCATGAAGACCTTACTTTGCCAAGGATCATTTGCCTAAGTGCTATAAGTACACATTTCTAGGCAAAGGGAGTTGGCCTCTTAATGAGATACAGCCAGCTATCCAAACTGCTGAGTGATTTTAAGGAACTCATTATTAATGCTAATGCAGAACCCATGAGATTGGAGACAGCATTTGAGGCTTGGGGACCTTAATTGGACCATCATTTGTGAAGTCCCACCAAGTTTCCTGGGGGGTTGCCTCAAACAGCTGGATGTAGCTGTTCAAGTCACACTCAATGGCCCAAGAGTACTGTCACTCAGTGGCACAAAGATATAGGCCGAATGGGCTTCAGAAGCTGCTCGCCATTTCCTAATCTGATTGCTGAAATCATGGGGGATTTCTGTGCTGGATGATTCCATGGTGTGCCTGCTGGCCTTGCCAGACATTGGTAAACAAGCTGGCTTCAGTTCAGATCTCACATTTGGGCACACTGTTCTCCTAGATGGGTCTGAACCAGCCTCCCAAGACTATTAACTGTTGCCTCCCCTCAACCCTGCATCTCCTCTTCTCATATAAGTAGAAATGCTGGAGGGATATTTAAGAATGGAATTGTGTAAGTGAAAGGCTACTTGGATGAATCAATGAGCCAATAAATACTAGTGAATGATAATGAATAATAACTTGAATACCAAAAACCAGTGAGGTGCTGGTAAACTGACTGTCTGGGTGGATGAAGTCCCATTGTGAAGAGTTTGCAGGTTTCTTTGATGTCAATACACCTACCATAGTTATTGCTCAATCTACCAAGCAGGAGGTCAATGAATGTCAGAGTTGAGGAGAGTTGGGTACAATGAGCTGGTGTGAGCTGGCTCAAGTCAGCCCTGGTATACCTCTGCTGAGTCATATTTTAATTGAGCACATAGCTTGTACCAGTCATTCAACATATATGAACTCATATAAGATATGCAACAACTCTTAGAGGCAGAGGCTGTCGTTATTGAAGCTTAAGAGATGATTAGCTCCTTGTTTAAATATCAGAGCCAGAATCTAGGTGTATCTGATCTCAAAACTCATGTTCTTAACTTTGTGTTCCCATCTTCAGATTCTAAAAGTCAAGGAACATATAACAAGGACTCATGGACAAAACCAAAGGGGAAGAGCTGAGGGAGGGAAGGAGAGAGGGGGCAAGGGAAAGTGGTGGGGGGGAGGCAGAGACAAATGTATTTAAAAAATAAAGAAAGAAAGAAAGAAAAAAATGATTAAAAAATAATAAAATAAAATAAAATGCAAAAGAATTAGTAAAGTCCAAATAAAAAACTAATGATGTATTTTTATATGCTTTATAAAATGAGTAAACAAAAGTTCAAGGAAATTGGTCTAAAAAAATAAAAAGCTTTCCAAAACCCCCTAAAAATAAATAAATAAATAAATAATAAAAGTAAGTAGAGGCAGAAACATCTCAGAGGGTATCAGACTAGGTCATCCTCAAGATGAGGTCTTCCCCTATAGGAGGTGATAGAAACAGATTGGCTTAAATGCCTGTGATTTTCTTAAGTCCTTAAACATTTCTTTAATCCTAGCATAGTAAATGTTTTCCTATGTCCTCCCATTTCCAAGACCATGTACTGTTGAAATGGACCCAAACTGAGCCAGCAGGTACAGAAAACCTGCAGCCACCTATTCCATTTCAGCCACAGGAGAGGGAGAAACAGGGTTGAGTTTCTCAGGTGGCAAAACCATGCTCATGGCAAAAATCTAGTTTTCTGCTCTCTACCAGAAACAGAAGCAAAGTAGGTAATGTGATCCATTGTCAAGGAGAAGTATGGAGTGCTTTTCAGAAATGTTTCTTTAGCTTCCCATGCCAAGAGGGAGAGTTGTTTCCATTGAACCACAAGTAGAAACCTGAGCAGAGACTGTATGTATCTGTGATTTTCATTGAAGTGACTCCATGGGTGTTATGAAAAGATATTATACTTTTGTCATAGAAGACTGTTCCTAGTTAACGTGTATCTAGCCTACAGACTACCCAAGAAGTGCCCTACAATTTTTTCAAAATTGAAGTACTAGTACTTTTGGGGTACTTAAAATCTCAAAATGTGGGCAGATAGATGTCTTTTTAAATCTATTCTCCAAGAATTCCCATTCAGGTGGGAAATCATTAAGCATTTACTTCTCAGACACTCACTTTCATGAAATACTCGTTTGGAGTTGAATTCACAGCATTGAAAGTATTCCTCTTGGCCCATGCATTTCAGAGTCAAGGAAGGGTTAGAGTCTACTCCTGGGGAGATTTCAGTGTTGCTTTGCCCATTTTATGATCCCCTTGAGCCCAGCATCTGTGCTCAGTGAGCTGTTCCAAACACCACAATTCTTGTTTTGCTGAACCCATTCTGAAAGGTCAACGTTAATCTCACACTTGGTGACAGGAGTTTGAGAGAGTTGCTAATGTAGTCATTAGCAACCTATTTTACCCTGGCTGTGGTGATGACCTTGATGTGATTGACTTGCACCCACAGAAAGCCTACCATAGTGCCCCAAAACCTTTGTAGTCCAGAATGCCAATGCTTTAATAGCACATCTAGCAAATGCATTTTTGTCCTATTTCCCTAATAAATTGGAAAAGAAAATTTTAGAATCCTAGTATAAGATGACAGCTGCTAAGAGAGTGAGAATTGGGCGAGGGCACACACACACCATTGTCTCTTGGCCTTAAAGAAGAGCCTGGGTGAAGGGAAAATAAAGCAAAATTTGAAATGAAATTCTCAAGTTACTGCTAGGCACCAAGAACACAAGAAAGATTAGAAAAGTTAAATGTTTTTTTCTCATGGGACTTACATTCTTGGGTGTGGGGTGGAGGAGGGTGATACACAATAAAGAAATAAACAAGGGACAAGATAATTTCAGATATACCAAATGATGTGTTTGGGAGAGATTTCCTTTACAGGGATTCTTCACAATACATGGTCAGGGAAGCTCTTTCCTGGGAGCTGAATTTGATCTGAGATTAAAAAGTGAGAAGGTAGACATATTGGGTTGGCCTAAAAGTTCATTTGTTATTTTCCGTAAGATGACTGTAATAGTGCTTTGTTGTCTTTAACTTCATTCAAAACAAATTTGTTAGATTGTATTGTGACAGCTGTCATATCAGCAAACATTAAACAAAAAAACTTATCAAAATTGGTGAATTTTTGTGTAGCCATTTTAATATTGAAGATGGAAGAAAATATGCAACACTTTTGGCATATTATGTTTTATTATTTCAAGGAAGGTAACACAACTGAAATGCTAAAAAAAAAATGTGTAGTATATGGAGAAGGTGCTGTGATTGATAAAATGTATCAAAAGTGGATTGTGAAGTTCTGTGCTGGAGATTTCTCACTAGATGATGCTCCCCAGTTGGGTATATCAGCTGAAGATGATAGTGACCAAATCGAGATACTGAGAATAATCAACATTATCCCACATGGGAGACAGCCAACATACACAAAATATCTAAGTCCATAAAGTTTATGATGAAAATGAAAAATGTGTCTTTTATTTTAGAGGAAAAAAACATGGACTTTTTGGCCAACCCAATATTATTGTGTGCACATGTGTGTGTAAGGGGGAGGAGAGGAGAGCAGAAGGTGCAAAGGCCTTGAGACAGGAACCAGCCTAGCAGTGAGCAAAGAACACAAAGGGAGCCATTGTATCTGAAGACAAAGAGGGACAGGGAGATGAAGCTAGAGCACTAGGTGAAGCCCAAATGACATGTTGCCTGGATCATGAAATCTTATTTTAAGATCAACGGTTTGTATCTTATTTTAAGATCAATGGTTTTTTAACAGGTGAGCAACATGATCTGGTTTATGTTTTAAAGATAACTCTCTAGCTGCTACCTGGAGAATAATAGAAAGATTAAAAAGCTAGAAGTTAGAATTCAGAAGGTTATTGTATTAACCCAAGTAAGAGATGCTACTGGTTAGACTGCGGTGACGATTGCAGAAGATGAGCACAGTGGATGAATATCGGATATATTCTGGAGCAGAGCTGATATGAGTTATGATAGAATTTACTGAAAAATTAAATGAAGATGAATATTAAGAATATCTCAGGTTTTCAATTAATATCTAGGTAGACATATTAATGTGACTTGTGATATGCTATGCTATGAACAGAAGAGGTTTGTAGGCATGAATTATTTTTCTTTTTAGGATGAAATTGCACAATGACAACTGTCAATCCATAAAGTTTTTTTTTTTAATTAATTTATTTACTTTTTAAATACATTTGTCTCTGCCTTCCCCCCACCTCTTTCCCTTGCCCCCTCCCACCTTCCCTCCCTCAGCTCTTCCCCTTTGGTTTTGTCCATGAGTCCTTGCTATATGTTCCTTGACTTTCCCCTTCCCTTCCCTTTCCCTGCCCCCCCTTCCCTCTTGTCTCTGTTGATTTCTTTTCCTTTCAGTGTTGCTGGTCATATTTTCCTTGCTTCTTTGCATTGTTGGTTAGGTTCCGCTTATAGGTGAGATCATATGGTATTTGTCTTTCGCCCCCCTGGCTTATTTCGCTTAGCATGATGCTCTCCAGTTCCATCCATGCTGTTGCGAAGTTTAGTACTTCTTTTTTCTTTCTGCTGCGTAGTATTCCATTGTGTATATGTACCATCATTTTTTGATCCAATCATCTACTGATGGGCATTTAGGTTGCTTCCAACACTTGGCTATTGTAAATTGTGCTGCTATGAACATTGGGGTGCATAGGTTCTTTTGTATTGGCATTTTGGTGTTCTCAGGGTATAGTCCCAGCAGGGGAATCGCTGGATCAAAAGGCAGTTCCATTTTCAGCTTTCTGAGGAAATTCCATAAAGTTTTAAATCAAGTTCTCCTGAAGAAAGAAATAATTTGAGGTAGTTTTATGAAGAAATTTTAAATTTTAGAAAAAAATCACTTAAGATTTCACATTGTGTCAATCATTAATGTTGTCAACAACAAAAATTATATTTAAGCTTGAACTTCAGGTTTGTCTATTTTCACAAAATTGACAAAATTTAGTTCCACCACCAAAGACAGATAAACCTGCAATTAAGCCTCACTGTATGTGTGGGTTCGCAGAGAAAAAAACTTCTTTAAACTTGAGCATAATGTTGAACCCTACTGGTAAATATTTAAATAAGAATGCTTTTAATCTTTGTGCTTCCAGAGAGGTTAGAGACAAAAGGCCTCTCTCCACCCCAAAAGAAGAGCAAAGCAAAGAAGCCAGAAAGTCTCAAAGATTCTAGTGAGGGTAAGTCACATTGCTCTTCCTTTCTTTAATAAATTATGCCAGGAAAAAAAAATTTCTCTTGAATATGCTCATATGGTCAGATATTTCTAAGGGTTCAAAAATCACAGAACAATTTTTTTCTTTTCCTAATATGTTTACCATCCTCTGAACGTGAGAATGAAAAAAATCAAATTCAAGCTTAATTTGTTAAGGTAAAAACCAAATTTTTAAATTATTTTCCCAGTGTGATGTATTTTCTGTTTCTAAGAAGTGTGGAACTGTGGGCAGTGTTCTGAAATCGTATGAGACTGAAGGTTGAGATCTATACATTTTGAGTAGCTCCATCGCTATTGGTTTATTTGGATCACTTGTTGTTCTCATGAACACACTCTGAGTCCAGAATCAAATTTCAACAATGGGTGCTAGAATTGGTTCTTGTTTTTAGAATTTTCTTCCATTTTCTACAAGCCAACATATCTTTGCATTTATACATTGAATAGACAGGTTCAAACGGGCTCAGTTTTGTGAAGAAATGACTGTCTCCCTTTTACAACACTAGTGCCACTTTCAAGATATTCAAATTTTTCTTTTGAAATGTAGATGAAGCATTTTTAAGTGATTCTGTAACCTAAGAGTATGCATGCACTTCTAAAAGGTAAACACAAGGGGCCTGGTAAGTGTGCCTTAGTTGGTTGGGCATCATTCAGCAAAGCAAAAGGTTGCAGGCTCGATTCCAGGTCAGAGCACATGCCAGGTTGCTGGTTCAGTCCCTGGTTCCAGCAGGCACAAGAGGCAACCATTCAATGTTTCTCTCTCACTTAGATTTCTCTCCCTCACTTCCCCTATCTCTAAAAATAAATAAATGAAGTCTTTAAAAAAAAAAGCAGAACACATCTATGCCTTCTGTTTTCTTCTTGGAGCCCCACTACATTCACTGTGAAATGGAGAGAATAATTAACACTGACGATGCCAGCTTGGGTCTTCCAGGAGGTAGATGTCAAGATGAAGTAGAAGTGCAGGAAATTAATAGGGTGAACTGCCTGCAAAGGATACAGAGTAGCACTGAGAACAGATGTAGGTGGGAGGAGAGAAGGAAAGAGGGAGAATTAGTTAGGAAGAGCCCCAGCCTGCACTGTAGTCAGAAAGTCCAGGGAGGTTCAGAGCAAGGACTGGCCATTACAGGAGCCATGCATGGGGCAGGAGCGCTGGGCTGGAGGATCCCATTTCCCTTGCTCACTCACTGGCTGCAAGCAGTTTGGGGAAAACGTGGCCTTGTCATGAATATTATGCTGCAGTAAATCCCAAAAGTGTGGGAGCTGGAAGCTGTCAGCTAGCTTCATTTCCAATAGTAGGTTCTCTGCTCATGGAAGGTCTTCAGCAGCTACTTCCATGACTATGCAGGCTCTGTATGAGTGTCCGGGATCCAATGATCCGTCATGACACTGCCTTCACCCTCATCAGGCTCAGAACCAACTTAGAAGGCAAAGCTGGAGGAAAGTTTAAAATCAGAGAGACTCAAGATGAAACTGTTTTGTCTCCCAGGCTCATCATAGTGAGGGGAATGGCCACTGCCCTCTGGGGGAAGGACAGGAGATAGACATTACTGACTAATACTAAACAAAAGATATAGTGTAAGGTACCTAACACACGTCTAGCTTTCTATTATTAATAATATCCTAATAAGGACTGTGATAGGGTACATACTGTCCTAAATCATTGAAATTTGCTTGAAAGTTTAGAATCATTCATAGAAGAACACTTAGAACCATGGAGAAGGCCAGCAGCTCTAACTGGCCCAAGGTGCTAAGTTCCCTTGATATCTGATTGGGAGAATAGCCAAGGCTTCCACTTCCTACTGCAATTAAGTCTTTTCTGGACACTTTCTTAGGGCCATGACTGGGAAATGGATCAGAGGCAAAACAACCATTGCCTTTTCCCTGGCGAGTCTACATCACTGAGTGTTTCCCATTAAATGCATGATCTATCTCAGAGGTTGTTATCCAGAGCCCGAGTCTCTTGTCATTTCCATTGTCACATGGTAGGCCATAAACTGCTGCAATTACATCCCCTTTAACTAAAAAGGGACTAACACCTGGTTATTCCTTCAAACATATGAAAACTTCTTTTACTTCTCAAATAATTTGCTGTGTTTAGGAACATAATATCATAACCCTAATATGACTAAATAATATGGCTCCTCTTTTCCCGAATCTGTGGTCTCAGAATCTGATCTAAGTTGCAAAAATAGTATCACTATGGATTTGTTACCAGGGACATCCCCTCTGTGAAAAGTGGGGAAATGTAAATGTTAGTCACTCCACAGAAACACGAGAATTGTGTATTTGTTCCTAATATACTCTCAAAGGCAAAAAGAGTAAAGATTGCTAGGAAAAAAGCAAGACGGGGAGCGTAATTGAACATGCCAGTGGCAGACAGCCTATGATAGGGAGCTCATTATTTATTATGTTTCTGTTTTGACAAAATAAACTCTGCCCTGATTCACGTGTTGTAGTATTGCATATGTTTCATTTTCTATTATGATTCAAAGAGTTAGAATCATTTTATCCTATTGAATATGCAAATACATATTGTATTACTGGGTAGAGGGGTAATGTGGATCTTGACCCCTCTCTATAGTTGTCTTTCTGTTTTAGGGTTAGCAATCCTTTTTGAAACTCGGTCATCTACCAAACTTGGTCATCTATTGGCCATCAAACTTTATTTAATATGGTGTTTAACTTCTCCCTGAGTTTCTTATTTTAATTATTAAAGTTTTCATTTTTACCAGTTTATTTGTTATTTTTCAAATATAAATGCCATTTTTATTTGACAAATAAAATGTATTTAAAAATAATTTGTATATGAAATTTAAATATCTCTAATCTTTGTAACTAAAATTCTATAGTTAATTGTTTCTGCAAATGCATACTGATTGTTATGTCTGTATATTTTGTCTTTTTTTTGATTGTCATATTTCTTGCATATTTATTTGTGGAAATTTTGGAAGTTGGGTTATTTACATTTTGTTTTCCGAGGTATCTGGAGATACTACCAATTTAAGAATACTTTAAACTAAATGAATGGCTCAGAGTTTGGTTTTGGTTTGGTTTGGTTTGCTACTTGTCCTTAAACCCATACTACTGTGTGTATAAGATCAAGAATTCTCAGCAAATGTATTTTTTCTTTCCTTTTTCTTCTCCAACCAGTGCTTAACTGAGATAGGCCAAACTTTCCACCATACCTAGGACCTAAACAGTGGCCGCTCTGTACCTCACCTGTGTTACTTATTCAAATACAAGCTCTAGCTGGTAGTTCTCAAAGAGTATTCCTGTATCTGCATCATCTGGGAACTTGCCAAAAATAACAATTTTAGGGCCCCTTCCCAGACCTACTGCATCAGAAACTCTGAGGTATGGCCCAGTAATCTGTATTTTATAAAGCATTCCAGGTATTTAGATGTGTGCTCAAGTTTGAGAAATACTGTTCTAGAGTCTAGATCTGGGATTGACAAGTGCATCAAAGCAAACAATAATTTCAGTGATCACTCATAAATCTTGATTCAATCTTCTTTTATAATTTCCTACTTCTAACAGTTTTTTTTACAAAAGCATCAACTCAGTCATGCATTCAGAAATCAGATAGATAGAGAAATAGAGAAAGAGAGAATACACAGAAGATTGGTAGATAGTATATACCTACAAATATACAAATATGTACCTATATATGTGCATGTATGCATGCCTACATTTATAATACATAGGCTGGGAAGATATATATCAAATGTCCTCAGGAATTATCTTAGAGGAGTGGAGAAGGGGCAGGGGCAGATTTTGGAGAGTTTAATATTCAACTTCCAAAATGCATGTGTAATTGAAAAATATATGTGGCAAGAATCAGTTCATATTTATAAAATAAAAATGCATTTTCATTAAAAAACTAAAGAGAATTTATGATTCTAAAATTCAGTAGCAAGTTTAGAACAGTCATTTTCTCTATACATATATCTTCAAAGCCTCCAGTAGCTCTTGGTAATAACTGCTATTTTTCGATCATATATCTACAGAAAGCACTAGCACTTTGACTTGCTCTGCAATTGCCTCTATAGAATATTCAACAAGCCTGTATGTGTGATGCCTGTTCTTCAGGAAACTGAGCCCTTTCAATGCAAGCAACCCTACACTATACTTTAAAATATTAATGATCTCTTTTGTCAGATGAAATTATATGTGGAAGCATTTTGGAAACTAGAAAGCACTATACAAGTTTGAAGAATCTAATGTTGCTATTATAGGTATTATTATTATTATTGTTTTTACTAAAACAAATTTTTCTGAATATGTAAACCATTGGTGGGTATACTCCATATTCCCTGAGAGATGGATTTTTTCTCTGCCCTCTTATTTTCTCTGCATATTAAAGTATCATGTGACATGCTGTTTTGTGAGTTGCTGGACAGAAGGGACCTTCCATCTTTCATAATGCCATGCAGAAGTTCATGCATTATATTCATAAACATAATCTTTAATTTAATTTTTGTGACAAGTGCAGTGAAGGGTAAAATCAGGCAGTCATAATTTTGACTTTGCCATCACTCAAATGAGCTTAGTTTAGTGATTGGACAAGCTTTTTTTAAAAAATATGTGGAAATAAGGAAAAGCAGCTTTCTCATGAAGAAAAGCTTTATTTTATCCTTTAGACCTTAAAATAGCAAGAATTTAAGCAAAATGTAAATTTTCATGCTCAAAATTAGAATATAATAAAAGCCTGTGCAACCATCTTGCTTTAATTACACTCTACGTTCCCCTTGACTCAGGTCCATTCTGAACCATCCTCCTGCCACAAATTAGCAGATGGACCCAACAGTCTATTTTATTTTTAGGTTGCTCTTTACGTTTATCCATTAAGCAGTGCTGTGGTTATGATCCTGGAGTCCTGTTTCAAAGTCAACTCTAGGATTTTAAATGGGACTTAGAGAAAGTGAGTTCTGAGGCATTTTGCATAGTGAAAAGGGCTGAACCTAC